GATGGGGGGGGAGGGGCAACTGACGACATGGCTTACAGGGTTGGCTTACAGGGAATTAAAATCAACAAAGGGAGTGGCTTTATTGTCAAGGAGAAACACACACAACTGTCACACAGAATGGCCCGCTCAAGGATTGAACTCAAAACCCTGGGTTTAGCAGGCCAATGCTCAACCCACTAAGCTATCCCTCCCTCTGGTATTTCAGGCAGGACTGAATCTCCATTAAAGTTTTCAAGGTGACCCTGACAGACCTCACCAAAACAATTGTCGGCCATTGATTTCACGGAGGGAGGGAGGGAGGGGGAGCAAATGAATACCAAACAAATGTGGTCTGTTTCTTGTTTTGATCCACTCCATCTATCTTTTAGATCTTTGGCTGGCAGCAGACGATGCAGTAGGACTGCAAGCCATCCATATCTCCTGCCTGCTTACCATAAGATGGTACAATAGGACTGCCTGCAGGACTAAAGAGAATGACCTGGTCGAGTCACTCCTAATTTAGTCCCTGCGCTCATGTCTGCCCAGGCGCTCCTGACCGACCTTACTGAGGCGGCCAGGAGCACCTCGGACACCATGAAGATGGTTTTCAGGCCTATTGCACCATCTGCTGCCACAAGGCAATGGGTTGCTGCTGCTGTGTAGCAATGCATCTGCCAGCACCCAGGAGACATACGGTGACAGTGAGCTGAGCGGGCTCCATGCTTGCCGTGGTATGGCGTCTGCACAGGTAACTCAGGAAAAAAGGCGCGCAACGATTGTCTACCGTTGCTTTCACAGAGGGAGGGAGGGCGGGCCTGACGACATGTACCCAGAACCACCCGCGACAATGTTTTTTGCCGCATCAGGCATTGGGATCTCAACCCAGAATTCCAATGGGCAGCGGAGACTGCAGGAACTATGGGATAGCTACCTGCAGTGCAACACTCCGGAAGTCGATGCTAGCCTCGGTACTGTGGAAGCACTCCGCTGAGTTAATGCACTTAGAGCATTTTTTGTGGGGACACACACAATCAACTATATAAAAACGATTTCTAAAAAAATGACTTCTATAAATTTGACCTAATTTCGTAGTGTAGACATACCCATAGATTCCAAGTCCAGTAGAGATCACTGTGATAATCTAGTCTGACTTCCTGTATGACACAGGCCATACAACTTCCCCAAAATAATTCCTAGATCGATCTTTTAGAAAAGCATCCAATCTTGATGTAAAAATTGTCAGTAATGAAGACTCCACCACTACCCTTGGTAAACTGTTCCAGTGGTTAATTACGCTCATTGTTAAAAATATACACTTTATTTCCCATCTTAACTTGTCTAGCTTCAACTTCCATCCATTGGATCATGTCATATCTTTCTCTGTGAGACTGAAGAGCCATTATTATATATTTTCCCCCAGATAGGTACATATGGACTATGATCAAGTCACCCCTTAAACTCAAGGAACTCAATCTATTTAATTTAAGAAAAAAGAAGGTTATCACTCTCTTAAGGCCTGTTGTCTAATCCTTTAATTATTCTTGTGGCTCTTGTCTGAGCCCTCTCCAATTTATCAACATCCTTCAGAACTAGACACAGTATTCTTAGCAGTGGTTGCAGCAGTGTCAAAGATAGGGGTCAAATAAGCTCTCTTCTCCTACTCAGCATTCACCTGTTCATGCATCCAAGGCTTGCATTAGCCCTTTTGGACACAGTTTTGTTCTAGGAGCTCATGTTCAGCTGAAAGAAAAGGCGTACTTGTGGCACCTTAGAGACTAACAAATGTATTTGAGCATAAGCTTTCGTGAGCTACAGCTCACTTCATTGGATGCATTCAGCTGGTTACTCACAACCACCCACAATCTTTTTCAGAACCACTGCTTCCCAGGATAGAGTCCCCCATCATGTAAGCCTATATTTTTTGCTTGCAGACATCTTACAAAGTAATTCAGATTACTTTGAATCAGTGACCTGTCCTGTTAATTATTTACCACTCCCCCAATTTTTGTGTCCACTGCAATATTTGTCAACAATTTTTTCATATTTCCTTCTAGATCATTGATAAAAATGTTAAATAGTGTAGGGCTAAGACCAATCCCTGAAGGGCCCTACTAGAAACATACTTGATTGATGATGATTCCCCACTTAAATTACATTTTGAGACCTATCAGTTAGCCAGTTTTTAATCCATTTAACGTGTGCCATGTTAATTTTATATCATTCTAGTTGTTTTAATCAAAATGTTATGTGGTACTAAGAACACCTTACAGAACTCTAAAAGGTAATAGTGTTGATGTAATATATTATCAACCAAACCTGTGATCTCACTTGAAAAAAAAAAAAAAGTTAGTTTGACAGGATCTACTGCCCAGAAACCCATGTTGATTTGCGTTAGTTATATTACCCCCCTTTAGTTCTTTATGGAGTCCTGTATCAGCTGCTCCATTATCTTGCCTGGGATCAATGTCAGACTGACAGGTCTGTGATTACTGGGGTCATCCCATCTATCCTTTTTTAATTTTGGTACATTAGATTTCTTCCAGTCTTTTGAAACATCCCCAGAGTCCCAAGAGTTACTGAAAATCAACACTAACTGTTCAGCTCTTTTAAAACTCTTGGATGCAAGTTATCTGGACCCACGGATTTAAAAATGTCTAACTTTAGTACCTGATGTTTAACATCCTCTGAGATTCTAGAGGAATAGAAAGAGTTATCATCTGAGGTGACTATATAATCTGTTTTTCCTCCAAATACAGAACAAGTATTTATTGAACAATTCTGCCTTTTCTGCATTATTATAGCATTTCCATCTAGTAATGGATTAATAGCATTGCTAAGATTCTTTTTGTTCTTAAAAACTCCTCCTTATTGTGGGAGAAGGAGAAAAGGACCCATTAAAGAAACAGGGAGTAAAGCAGAGGACACTGAAGATGGGAGTGGGCAGAAACAAGAGGTAAAATATATGCCCAAGCAAAGCTCCAAACTAGATCTGAACAGAGGATGGAAGTTCCATTTTGCAAAGGATATTGAGATTTCGAAATCTGGCTTTGTTCTGAAGAAGAAAATTCTGAGGTTTACTTTTTCCTCACGTCCTTCAAAATGTTTCATTTCAACAAAACTGTTTTGTTTCAGTTTCCACTTAAAATTTGTGTGTTATATTAAATATTCTAACCTAAAATTAAAAATTGCAGAACAAAAAGTCATTTTAAACCAAAAACATTGAACAAAAACACTGAAATGTTTCATTCTGAAATTGTCAAAATGGGATGTTCTGACTGTTGGATTTGGCTAGTTTGCTTTCTGAAAGAAACACAAGTGAAACTGACCAGATTTCACAAAGTGTTTCAATTTTGGCAGAACTGCATATTCCATAAGAATATGATTCCACTGAAGTTGCTCCAACCAGCTCTATTCCAAACAATGCACAAAGCTAACAGAGTCCATCACCTTCCCAATGCAAGCTTGTTCCCAGCACTGTATTCTCCTGTTTAGTTTAAATGACTCACACTGAGGTTCCACCACATTAATTGAGAGAGACGGATCTTTGTTTTATGTATTGTTTTTTTCAGATTTATCCAAAAGTCAAAGTTACTCTGGAGAATTCCAGTGATTTATCTTCAGGTTTCAAACTTAACAGACCACGGAGAGGAACGGATCAGTTCACATCTCTTATTATTTCAGGAAGACATGATTGTGTTTGTTTACACTCAGGCTATGTTTTCAGATATATTTGTAAATGAAAGCTTCTTTTCTGTTTAAATTCAGATACACAATTTGGTGGCAAGGAGCAAATTCCATGGTCATGCATTAAATGGAGCCCTATTTTTAACATATGGGACAGTGAGATGTGTGGCTTAAAATATCTCACTTCAAAACCTTTTTCCAAATATATAAAAGTTTATCAGATTTGGTCTACGTTTCTTTTTAATAGACACAATTGCATCCAATATGCAAGAATCTTTCAAAATATGTTTTACTAGTATAAATGAATTCCTTAACCCTGTATTCTCTCAGGATATTGCAGGAGCATAAACATTTATCAGCTCATTTGTTTAGCCCTGTTCATGCTCAGTAATTCTCTATTGTTAAAACACAATCCTCTTCCTTTAGTACCGATTTCTGAGCACATAGCATAAGTCTCAATATTTAGCTATTTCTCACTTCTTTAATGTGATCTGATTTTCTTTTTGATCTAGATAATGCTACCAGGCTGTTACGAGTAATACTGCAAGCTTAAAATGAAACTATATGCTACAAAAAACACTACAATGCAATGTTACTGCACATCCATCACTACAAAACAGCTCATTTCTTTGCCTATCTGGGACAATATCCATAAAATATCATAGTAGGAATGACAGGGTTTCAAACTTTCTGAAAATAGAAAGATACGTGTTCCCCAGAACTCTAAAGGCAAACAGACGTGGGGGTGAAAGTGAGGTATGCAACCCTGAAAACAAGGGGAAAGACAGATGGACCTGGGAGCCGAAAGAAAGAGGACCTGAACACAGAAGGCCAAAATGTAACTCTAAGAGTTCCTTCCAAATAACTGGTAACTGTATGTTTAGGTACAGAATTTGCTTGCATGCTACAAGTAGTACATTTTTCTATCGCAAGTTTCAAAGTTTTATTGCATTCAGCATACATTTTTCCCTTTTAAAGCCAGGTTTTCCAAAGAAATCCTACAGTCTTCCAAAATAGTTTGTAAAATATCTAGAACTTTAAAGAAAAAAAAGGTCTGAAATTTTCACAAAATTCTAATAAAACTTCTGCCATACCTTTGTTACCAGAGCCTAAAGAAAAGACTACAGAAACCTCATAGCTATCACTTGAGGGGTTTTGCAGGAACAATTCACTTGCACGTGGTGAATCTGCACAAGGTAACATTGCATGCTTGTTTCAGAAACAAGTGGGACTGGTCTTCTTTCCTTTCTCATTCCTCTCTCGGGATCCCTCTAGCACTCTAAATGGTGCTGCCTGTGCATGCAGAATGCGGCTTAAGAACACAAATTTTCAAATACCTTGACTGTAATAGCCTGCACGTTGCTCATTCTGGTGGGACCTGAGACATGCTGTTCCACTGCTTTTCTGGATTCCTTGACAGTTATCAGAATGAGGGTATAGGAAGTAACAATTACCCCACAGGGGATGATAAAGCAGAAGACAAAGAGAGCTACAGTGTAAGACATTGCCACCGTGTTTACACTTGATGAATGCCAGTCAATGCAGCAAGCTGTACCATAGGGCTCTGGTCCATACTCTCCCCAGTGAGCTAGGGGCGAACAGGCAAAAATTGCTGCATAGGCCCATCCGCAGGCTATCAAGATTCGTCCATGTTCTCGCCTAAATCTGTTCCCTGGAAGACATGAAACAATCAGTGAAGAACTGCTTGCAGCAGCATGATGGATTTGAATTATGCAAGCCAGAAAACAATGCATAGGCCCTTTTTATTGGCTACTGGGTATTACAATTGTTTACCCACACACACCCAAGCTTGGGAGGAGCCCCCCATAAACATCCACAAAGCTATCTCATGGTCCTCCTTCAAATCCCCTATTAAACTCTCCCTTTGTTGTGATGCCTTAACAGGTAAGCAGCGGATGTGCCGAGATCACTGCCTATCATGCTGGCCAATATTAGCTCATTGTTTCCTTGTGCTCCCAGTCTGTCGCCCCCTGTTTTCATTTGTCTTAAGTTTAAGACTATAAATTCTTTGGGAGCAGGGATTGTCTTAGTTTTCTGTATAGCACCTAGTGAAATGGGGTTCTGGTCCAACAAGACTGGGTCTTCCCTGCACAAATAAAGAATATTCACAATGTAAATAAACAGTAAAAAATCTCCTTGTTATTCAAACTAAAGGCACCATAAAATGAGTTTGCAATATTCTGAACCCTAAATAACTGCAAGTTGGGTGAGCTGCAGACACAAGATGTTTCAGGTCCCACCTTGTTCACCTTTGTCTAAGCTTCTGGCCAGGAGGTTGAAGAGACAGCTTATTCTCAAGAAACGCTGCATCAGGAAATCCAGGGAAACAGAATAGAGCAAATACAACACACACACACACAGTACTTCAGAAACCACTCATCTCAGATACTCAAACTGTAACTCTTATTTCCTGATTTCAGTTTGAGATGATTTCTCTTATGCTGTTATGAGGTGCCACGAATGGTATTTTTGCATACAGTGAATATACTGTACATCTGAGAGAGACTCAAGCTGATTTTGTACTAAATCAAGCTTTCAGTTCATATGTCTAGTAAGTGCAGGGATCTTTGATCATGCTATTTGCAAATCCTCCCTCATATCATAAAATAAATAAGCGATCTTCACTGAAATTCAATTGATGTTTTGTGTGGAAACATAAAAGATGTAAGGAAATATTCAAGGGAACTTAAAAGAAATCAGATTACCTTAAAATGAAAGCTGGCACCCTCAGGCTGCTCGGAGTTATGCTGGGAAACCAGTCCAGCACAAATTAACACAGAACTGGAGGAGCGAGGGGTGATTGCAAAGGGAAGTTTCATGGTCATCTTACATCCCCTGTCACTGCAATTTGTGTTATGTGTTCCTTGGTCATAGCCAAGGACCCGGCTCCCTGCAGCTTCAAAATGTGCTCCATTTTAGAATGGTTCATAGTATGACTTTCAAACACAATGTTAACACTAATGAATCTAAAGAATGATCACCCTGATTTCAAACTAAAGGGCTGTCACCTAGAGAGATTCTACTAAATGTTTTGCCCCACACAAGTAGGGCCAAGTACTTGTAGGTCAGAGCTCATGATCCATGCCTAAAATGTTTATATCTGCCATTTTTCAGTTAATATGATAAGAAGATATTATATGATAAAGAAGACATTAAATGTACTTAACAGGGATGTTGCATCTTCAACACACTTTCACATTAATTAAATATTTAACCCTCACAATTATAATGTCTTTAAACAATCCAACACCAGGCATAGACAAGAAAAGAAACAAGATACTGTTAGTTGACATGTGTCTTGATTCAAGAGAAGGTCATCTTTGTTCTGGAAAATTTATCTCACTAAAAATAGGTAGTTCTGTTGGCACTGAATATGAAAGAGAGGGGCACCATTTGCATGGCTACACTTACTACAGTCATGCACATTTTTCTTGCAACACTACATCTTCAGGGATTTTAAAGCTGTTCTTTGAATAGTAGTAAAATGTGATGCTACATTTGTCTTTCCTATGTTACGTTGACTGGCATTCCTCTGATCCTAAGACGTGAGTGAGGTAATAAAGAAAGAACTTGAGTGGATGAACAAAAGAAAACATCTGAAAAGGTCAAAAGAATATAGTATGCATCTCTACCATTTACAAAAAATTAAGGTACTGAAATGCTGCTCATACCTGTACCAAGTCAAAGATAATTGTACAAAATGAATCTTAAAGGGTATCAACTTAACCCAACCTTGCTTTCATTTTAACAGTTATTTCATGGCCCTCTTCTGAGTCATTTACCTCAGCGTAAGTGGGTTTGGATATAATAAACTAGGTTTATATAGCACCACACTCAATTATTGGGGAGAACAGATATATAAATCATTTGGCCCCCATGTAACACACCTTGACTAGCCAATGGCTGTCTTTGTCCAAGAAACAAATACTGAACAATCTGAGAGAGAAGGAAGTTAATTTACCATAAGCTGGGAAACAAATTTTGAGGCAGCACACAGTACTCAGTAATGTTAGTGTTGACAGACTGCAGATCCCAAAAAGTATACCGCAGAATGCATAGAACAAGCAAACTTGTTTACCATACAACCATCTGAAAATAAAACAAAAACAAGAGAGAGTCAACATTTAAATGCCGCATTCTTCCTGTAATTCAAAGGCAGATGGTAGAAAGTCCCTTGTAGTGGTCATTATTACAATGCTGACATTTACTATTCGAAAGTAGTGAGCATCATTGTGGTGTTAATGCTTGGTCGGCAGGTAACTGAAGGAGAACATTCTTACTGGAATATCCTAGTGCCATTAAAAAATTGTTGCCTGCCTTCATTTTTGAGGGGAGGTGAGAAGAAGAAAGAAGAAAAAAAAAAAAAAACAGAGTCTGTTCAATTCAGCCACTTTCTGCCAAACTGTTCACTCTTTTTTCTCTGACACTAGCTGCTAAGAATTCAGTTCTCCTCATTCCTCTGCAACACTTTTAGGCACTGTCTACATGGAGCGTTGCAGCAGTTTAACTAAAGATATGAATTTAAACTGATATAGTTAAACGAATGCAGTCCCCTGTGTGGGCACGTATTTCTGTATAAGAGTAGCTAATTCCAGTTTAAATTTAAGTTAGATTAGAAACTGGTTTAAGATAAACCAAATTAAGCTACCCAAATCAAAATCAGAGAGTGTCCACAAGTTTGTGTGTGGACAAGGCCCTAGTGGAGGATAAGAGAAGCATTCCGAAAGCAGCACTAATTAGAACAGTCCTGCAGTAAGGAGATGGAATCTCATAAATCCCTCTCTCCCTTCTCCCCCTCCCCCAAGTCATAGGGAAGAGTTAATAGAGGTGATTTTATACTGTAGCACTTGGAAGTAAATTGCTCAGGGGGTGATACAGTCATGAAAGTAAACAGTCAATAGCACTGATTTGAGCTAGGCAGTGTGTGGGCAGCTTTTGCGCATGCTCTCCCACAAGGATCAGTTTGGCATGAAAGACTTCCGCTTGAACCTTGCCATTTAGCCATGCTAGATTGCGTCTTACCTTGTTGCTTCCTAGAGCTGCTCTGCAGGAAATGCCAACATTCGGCGGGGGTGAGGGGGGGTGGGGGGGTTCCATTCTGAATCTGAGCGAAAAATATTGGAAATTTCCTGCGAGACGAAGTTTTCAAAATAGTTTGTTCTGATAAAATTCATCCCAATTTGGGGTTTTTAAAAATTATATTCTAATTTTATATTTTAAAGTACAATACCTTTCAGAACAAAGTCATTTCAAAACAAAACATTTGCAGTGTTCCATCCCCCTGAGGTCAGGTTCTGTTTGATCTTTATCAAACCTCCCCCCCCCCATTTTTTTTAAACAAATATTTCATCCAAAAAAAATCAACACTTTCCCCAGGAAGTGCCCCCTCACCCTCCAGCCATTTTGTGTGAATTTCAACATGCTCCGAGCACACCTCCTGGATGGGGCCCAAAAGGGGAATGCCTAACTCGTGAATCCCGCTGGGGCGTAGATGGGAGTTAGGCACAGAGCTGATGGGCAGGTCAAGACTTGGCTATGAGCATGTTCAGCCACTAAAATGTAGGCACAGAGCTGATGGGCAGGTCAAGACTTGGCTATGAGCATGTTCAGCCACTAAAATGTAGGCACAGAGCTGATGGGCAGGTCAAGACTTGGCTATGAGCATGTTCAGCCACTAAAATGTAGGCATCTAAAGTCTCTAAGGTACCTACAGGGCTCGGCAGCAGCAGCTGAGCTGATATTTTGCAAATGCCATTTGCTCTTAAATGTTGGACTTCAGCATCCAAAGTGGCAGGTAGGTGTCTAAATCCCTTTGATCTGAATAAATTAGACTCTGGGCTAGATTCACATTCTCCTCTGTCCCACAAGCACCCTCTTTTTCCTCTCCACAATCCCAAAGAGCTTCCACGGGAAAACTCCACAGCATACCAGAGACTGCCTAGGGTCCAGCAAGGGAATTTATTAGAGGTTCTGAGCCCCATGTAAAGATCACAAAAGCCAGATATTATGGAATACTATTCAGTTAAACTGGCAAGGATGAGGGAGGTAGAGGCAAGAGAAAGAAGAGCTAATTTGGAAAGAAGACCAAATTGTGAATTGGACATTAACCATAACTTTAATCCCCAGGAGTCATACACAGCATCAGATTTCTTTGCATATTAGATTTGTATTTTTTTTTTTAAAACAGCTATGTTCCAATAGTTCTTACAATTCCTGCCACGGAAGATTTCAGCCAGCAGGTAGCGTGACTGTAGGGAAGAAATACCCCCATGCTCCTTTCCCAAGAGGGATACAAATTGCAATGGCCTCAGCCTAGAAAACTAAATGCAGCCAGCAGCTCAGAAAGCTGCTCTTATGTAACAAACTTCTCTCAATCTCCGTAATTAATCTTCCCTGTACTTTCTACAGAAGTGGCAGAATAATTCAGTCCTCTCTGCTGGCAGAGGCCTCCAGTCTGTGCAGTGGATGTTAAATACTATTTGCATATTGAACAAACCTGTGAGAAAGGCTGGATGTAACAGCTAGAGGGTACAAGGTCAGAGTCATACCAAGGTCACTGATGGCAAGGTTGATCATGAAGTATTCTGCTGGTTTTAGCAAATTCTTTTTCTTGTAGGAAACATACAAAAGAACACTGTTTCCACACAAGGAGCATATTCCTATAGGGGAATATAAAATAAAAAGAGGAATTCATTACTGGCTTTTCGTTTTTAATACTCTTTGCAAGGAGTAGTGCATTGCCAACCTATTCAGTGTTTATGGGATGATCTTTTTTCTATGATGAAATTAATTCAACTCAAATTTTTTTGAACACTTAATACCCCTTATTTGGTACATCTTCCCAGAAATGCCTTATTTAAGATTCATTTGCGATAATGATTAAAGGATACAAAGTAAATCATGGAGAAATTAACTTCAATGATCTATTATCTCCAGATAAAAAGTTCATTTGATTAGGATTTGATATAATTCTAATAGAAGATATACTACTTCTAACATTCCAACATGACTAACGGAGAAAGAATATTAATTTGCTCGCTAGCTCTGAACAAGTAGGATAAAACTTAGCTCTTATAGGTGTGGAGAAAAGTATGGCTTACCTAGTAGCATGCTGATTTCTAGGTTAGAAAGTCATGTATTCAAATCCCAATGCCAAAACCCAGCACTGACCTTTCAGCACAGCAGTAAGAGGCTTTACTTCACTTCATACACCCTTATATTTACCAGTCCAGTAGGATTTTATTTCCACCACCCCCATCCTTTAAGTATTTTTTCAAATGTTCTCCACAAATTATCTTGCTTTCACTTGAAGGACTATGCTAGCTGGATTCATTGTTATTTTGATTAACAAGGAATTGTAGTAAGCAGTAACAAACTGTTTTCTACTTTATTAAACCTATCCCAGGTGTCTGAGGGTGGAGACTTTCTTGAAAAGGAAGAGGAGAAGCAGGATTAAACTTCCCCAGATCTAGTCCAATTGTAATAATATTACAGCTGGTCAAAACATTTTGTTCAAAAGTTTGCAGTGGCAAAAGGAATTTTTTTTATATGGAAAAGTCAATATGTATTAAGCAACTCAGGATATTGTTCATTCTGTGCTTTCAGTGATGGTGGGGAGGAAGCAGGTGGTGCATGTGGGAAATCCAACATTTAGTTCAAATGGCCTTTTTTCTAAACTGAAAACTTTTCAAAAACTGCTTTAAACATTTTCCTTATTTTTCACCAAACCCAAAAACGTTAAAATTTTGAAACGTCGGATTTCCCGCATGCACACACCTGCTTCCTCCCCACCCCCACTGAAAGCACAGAATGAACAATATCCTGAGTTGCTTAATATATATTGACTTTTCCATTTAAAAAAAAATACCTTTTGCCACTGCAATTTTTGAAAAATTCTTTAACTTTTGAAAACTTAGAGTGGAAAAAGGAAACACAAAAAAGAGAAATGAAAAAACAAAACAAAACTGGGTATTGTTCATTTAGTGACAAAAAGGGGGGAGCTAAAATTCAAAATATCAACATTTTAAAATATATTTTGCCAATAATTTTGATTCGAACCTTACAGAACGGCAACACCTTTGAAATGGTAAGCTTTTTGTGTAATAGCTTTTCCATTTTTCCACCAGCTCTACCAAATATTTCATGACAAATATCTCTACAGGAGACATGATCTAAGAGATCACATGTGGCCATTGAAGGTGTGGGAACTTAAACATTAAAATTACTTTCACTTATCAAAATGGATTGCAACTAGCACATGAAAATTCCATCCACTTTAGTAATACTTGAATGTTCTCAGTAGCTGGTCTAAGATCATCACTTGGCTCCATAACAACAACTCACCTTTTCTGTTTGCTTTCAAGGTCCCACAGCACCCAGCCCCGTTTGGATTACCAGCTCAAGCTCTGATAGGATGTCCCAGCATGCACCATGTGGATGTCACAGCTGCTTTAGGACTCTGCTGGAGCATGGATATTGGGGAAGGTCAGCTTTGTTGTTAGTTTTTTAGTTATTAAATTGTGGAGGAAGAGGGGAAGTTACAACATTATATCTAACATGAAAGTTGCACAGTACCTCTTTTAAACGCAACTTACCTGACACCCCCGTGCCCCAACAGGCCAGCTCCTTTCTCTGACAAGGTCCTGCAGCAGATGTGACACCACTAACATAGTGCATGCTGGGAAGTCACACTGAAGCGAGCCAGTGATCTGAGCAGGGTTGGCTATCATGGGATCTGAAAGGGAAAATAAAAAAAAGCTAGTTAGTTGGCAACAAACCTTGCTGAATGCCTCTTTAGCAAAAGGCGGGAGAGGGGGGCATAACATGTACTGCTGAAGTAGATGGAATTTTCACCATTTCATGTGCAGTTCACTTTCCAGTGAGAGCAAGTTTTCACCCTGCTTTGTTGACGATGATCTGCATGCAGAATATCAGAAACAGAATGAAAGCATCACCAGAAAATTCTAGTTTTCACCTGCAGTGAGCAATGAGCAAGACTCATGTGTTTGTTTCTAATCAGAAAGTACTTTATAATATATATATATATATATGTACCAGTTCCTGCAAAGTTACAGAGTTATCTTTCCAATTACAATTCATTGGCCAGTCATGCCACAATTCTCCTCTCGGATTCTTTATTTGCTTTTCCAGACATGAAGCAGGACTGATGTACTGCATTGGTGCTCCTAGACTTGGGGGGTAATGTTGTTTAGAAGGAGATGTTCTTTACAGACAACCCTCAGTTTTCGCATTTGAAACACTTGACTTGGTTCACCAAAAGCAGAGACTAGGGATCAAATTCTCCCATCTGGATTTGCATCACACAGATCAAAATCCAGCATCCATCGCTGGGAAGACCATACTAGTGCAAAGGAGGTCCTCCAGTTGTATACAATGAATGTAGAGATGTCTACACAATTCTCTGCTGACAATGTAGCAGGGGAAAAGGAGAAAGGGATCCTTCTACATCATACTAATCCCCAGCTGTCAGTAGTCATAAATTAAAGCAGTTACCAGGTGGACTGGCACTCCACACAATATGAGTAGTATCAGGTATTGAAACAGTGATTTTAAGGTACTTTCTCCCCATCTCCCTGCAATTTGTGCTGTATGCAGTTCAGCTACAGCCAAGGATCTAGCCTTTTCTCAGCTAGAATATGCATTTTGTTTCTCGCCCATAAAGAATTCATAAGACCATATTCACCAATGGTATAAGTGGGCTCAAATCTAGTGAAGTCAATGATTGACATTTTAGATGCAAAGAAATTCAGTGTTACAGTTCCAGGAGTAACTTTGCTTCATTGCTCATGTATAAGGCTCTAAACCTGCATCTCGATCTACTTTCATGGGCCACTGTGCCCATGAGGAGTCTCAATGACTTTCCTGGGACTCCTCATGCGTACAGGGGTTTGCACTACTAGATTTTGATGCTGGACTGGGATTTAAGGATTCAATGTTAACACCATAACCAGAAATACAAAATAGTGCTGACCAGAACCTCGGGTGGTATAAGTTGAACCAACCACATAATATTTTGCAGTAAATCATTCTTTAAAATGTTTAATGACTTCCAAAGTTAAACACTGTTATTATTGTCAAACTATTATAGTAGATTAAAATTGAATAGGTACTGTACTTGCTTTTTGATGAAAAATGTGTCACTAATTAACGTTATAGAAGTTGTAATTAGGTCAATCTATTCTTTTATTTTATTGTTATGAAAACTTTGAAGTAATCCGTGTCAGTAATTAACTCCATTTCCAAACCCCCTACATTCTCATCAAACCTTTGGAATGTGAAATAATCATGAAACAAACCATACTTACCAAACACTGTATAAATCAGTCCAACAATAATATCTGCCTCTTCTGTTATTTTGGACTGGAATGTTGCATTAACAAGATAGGAACCCATCTGAAAAACAAGAAAATGGGAATTCAGCACCTGAGAATCTCTGTTGGCTTTCTGCAAGACCAGCAATAAGCTGGTTGTTGGGGGGAGTTGGTTTGATTTTTCCAGTGTTCGCAATGACAAGTTTGAAGATGAGAGATGTGGCATCGGGTTGTTGCTGAGGAATTTAGTTTGTCACCCTTGAGTGGTGTCCCTTTGACTCATTAGAACATGAGTACATCAAGATTTTCCAAAAAATGTCTTGTGACCAGTGTTCCCTCTAATTTTTGACAGGCCATGTGCACAAAAATTTCTTCTGTGCAAATTGTTGTGCTTCTGTGCAAATTTTTGTGAGTGCGGTGTTTCGCCATGTGCGCGGGGTTTAGGATCTGTGTGCATGCGCACACGCATACAGCTTAGAGGGAACAGTGTTTGTGACTCTGTATGCCTCGATTTTTGGAGGCTCAGCTTGAGACACATTAAAGGGGGGCTGAATTTCACAGAGTGACTGTTCAGCACTTTTCAAAGATAGGAGGCACAAAAGGCCAAGAACTATGGAAGAAAATCTAAAATTCAATGGGAGCTGGATCAGGCCCTAAGTAGTCTATGAAAATATAGAAGTCTAATGGGTATAATTTACACTTTTTCCCCACCCCTTCAACATCTATGTTACATCAGTATACTCTCTGAAGTTATTCGTTACATGCTTTGACTCACTTAAGTTCACACCCTCTTACCAACATGTAAGTCATTCTACCCATCTTGCACAATCACTCTCATTTCTGAATTTGTCCCACTGAGTCTGTGGAAGTCTAATTGCTCTAATCCTCTCTTCTGGCCCCTAACAGGATAGCATTAGAAGATGAAAATTAAAGCAGGACATGCCTACTTTATTTACACTTTCTTCTGGCTGGTTGGTTCTTAAATTACACCAACTTGGATTCCCTCACGTTTCAGAGAGGGCGCTTAAGTAAATCTAAGGGACTCTGACTGTAAGAGATTCCGTAGAACGCCTCTGAATTTGCCCTCAAGAAATTCTTCAGCAAATGACATTCAACAACAAATAAATTAGAGAAACTAGTGAACTGCCTGCAAAGCACAAGAAGAATTTGGAATCATGTTCTAATGGGTGAACTTCAGTCACTTGTATCCTGCCAGTGGTTCTCTAGCTACTATGTTAGGGACTACAGAGCACTTCTGCCCCTGCCCAGAGTCTGGCTAGCTAGCAGTGCATCCACTAGTGTTTTCCCAGCTCCCACTACCCTATTTAGAATGCATCTTTCCCCCAAGAACAACTTTATAGCTAGGCTTGGCAGAATTTGATTTTTTTTAATATAATTTCAATGGATATTAGTTTATTTTAACCATTTTTTCCAGTTTTATTGATGTAAAATTTCATGATTGTGGGAAATTATTGGGGGGGGGAGGGTGTCAGACCACTGTTTAAAGACAAACATTGAGATTTAAAAAGAGAAAGCATTATAACCATTAAACTACAAATTATCAACATCACATGTCAAATATATACTAAGTAAATATCCTTAAATCAAACTCTAGTAAATTCTCCAAAAAGTAGTTTTCTTACTTTGCCTATCTGTAAATTTCTATCATCAATAGAAATATTACCAATAAAAATAGAATCCTTCCAAGTCTATTTATAGCATGTGAGTACTGAAGCCCACAACTAGGAAGCCCTAGAAGGGCATGCTAGAGCCAGCAATCACCGAATGCTGCCAGGAAACCTGGGGAGAAGGTCAACAAGGGCCACATCAAAGGTATTTAGGCTCTTAACTTTCATTGGTCTCAGTGCAGCTGGAGAAACTGCTGAGCCTTCCTTGGCCTTCAGTGGGGAGGGGAGTGGCTAAGGGCTACAAGGCCCTTGGAGCAAATGAGCTGCAGTGCATTGCATTTGGCAGTGAAGCATCTCTTCACGTTCAATCTGTTGTGTAGATCCTGCAGTTCAATTCACATCTCTAAGAGATACTATATAGACCTGTAAGAAATATATTATTGAGGTCTCAAGAAAGTTATGTCCCTTCCTATTTTCATGGCCTATGGAGGCTACTGCAATGTGGATGATGGGGCTGGTAAGGTTTAGCTAGAGCTTTGCCTCAGTAGATGAGACAAATTACAGTTCCTATACACAGACTAACAAAAGTAAAGCAACACTCCCTAAGCCTGGCCATGAAATGTTAAGTACAGACCCTTAACACTTCATGGCCAGTAGGAATTATATCTACCATTACCTATGGCAATCAATATTGCCACAGGTAATGGTAGATATAATTGCTACTGGCAGCCTTTTCCCCTTCTCAAGTTTCTCTGATTATGCTTCTTGATAAAAAATAAAGGTCCATTGCTCTCCCTGTTCTGTAACTGTCATATGATTAAGTGCCCTAATGGCAATTTCACCCCATATCCATAAGCATAATAGCAAGAAATGATGTAATTCATGCAATTTTGCACATTGGATCTTAGCGCAGCATGTGAAATGTCAGAAAAAACAAGGTACAAAAGTAATCTTAGCACATGGCCCAAATGGTCTAAGTAGGGTCTGTACTTAACACTCTGGATCTGAGCCAACCACTGTATACACACAGTTAGTAATAAGGTCACAGCCTGCTTCATTCCTGCAATGCTGTAGGTAGACGTAATCTACATTCAGTTGGTCTGTCTTCACTTCAGCTTTTCTCACCTGAATTTGAATTAAGTCTATTCTTAAATTTCACTCTCACTATTCCATGAATTCTTTTTAAACAAACTGTTAGATCCTCAGCTGATATAAACAAGTGTAGTTTCACTAAAAATCAATGTAGTTACAATAATTCAGACCACCTAAGGGTCTGGATCTTTACTTCCAATGGCAATCATGCTTCTTAGTTGTCTATTTTCCTTAGCTTTATTAGCAAATACATTTACTGGTAGGAATGTTCTCTGAAACAGAACTAAGTCAACAGAAAGTGAAATTTGAATTTTATTCAGTTTATTTTTTATAAATCACTCATTAGCCGTCAGCTGCAGCAGTGACTATTCACAGCAGAAGCCTGATTCTAAGATTTACTAATGACCATTACTGTAGCATGCGAGTGTCCTCAAAAGAAGGGGAACAAAGAGGACTAGGGTAATTATAGGCCAGTCAGCCTAACTTTGGTACCTGGAAAGATACTGAACAAATTAAACAATTGGTTTGTAAGCACCTAGAGGATAATAGGGTTATAAGTAATAACCAGTATGGCTTTGTCAAGAACTAATCATGCCAAACCAATCTAACCTCCTTCTTTGACAGGGTTCCTGGCCTAGTGGATAGGGGCAAGGAGTAGACATGATATATCTTGATTTTAGCAAGGCTCTTGACACAGTCTCATGACATTCTCATAAGCAAACTAGGGAAATAAGTTCTAGATGGAATTACTATAAGATGGGTGCACAACTGGTTGAATGACCATGCCCAAAATGTAGCAATCAGTGATTTACTGTCAAACTGGGAGGGTGCATCTAGTGGGTCCCACAGTGGTCAGTCCTGGGCCCAATACTATTCAATATTTTAATTAAAATCACTTGGATAATGGAGTGGAGAGTATGCTTATAAAATATGCAGATGACACCAAGCTGGGAGGGGTTGCAAGCACTTTGGAGGACAGGATTAGAATTCAAAACAACCTTATATTAGAGAATTGGTCTGAACTCAACAAGATGAAATTCAATACACAGAAGTGCAAAGTACTTCACTTAGGAAAGAAAAATTAAATGTATAACTACACACTGGGGAATAGGTGGTAGTAGTGCTGAAAAGGATCTGGGGGTTATAATGGATCACAGATTGAATATGAGTCAACAATGTGAAGCAGTTGCAAAGAAGGTTAATAGTCTGGGATTTGTTTACAGGAGTATCGTATGTAAGATACTGGAGGTTATTGTCCAGCTCTATTTAGTACTGGGGAGGCCTCCACTGGAGTACTGTGTCCAGTTCTGAGCACCAGACTTTGGGAAAGATGTGGACAAAATAGAGAAAGTCCAGAGAAGAACAATAAAAATGATTTAAAAAAATTTAGAAGACTTGACCTATGACCTTAACCTATGGCAACAACAAGAAAGAAACTAAGAGACGACTTAGGGCTAGTTTACAGTGGGAAGGCTTTGCCGCTACCGTTATACTGGTATAGCTATACCTGAAGACCCCCCCCCTAGTGAAGAAGTAACTTATATGGACACAAGGAGATCTTCTGTGCCAACATAGCTACATTGGTCAGGGATGTGGATTTTTTTACATCCCTGACCAACATAGCTATGCCAACAAAATTTTGTAGTGCAGACCCAGCCTTCAGTGGTGTTCTACATTACTCTAGTTTTGGGAGTGTAAATCAGTGTCATTTATATGCTAACTAATGTCTCAAGTCTGCCCTCAAATATGCATGTTCAATTCCCATTAACTTCAAAGGGAGTAACACAGGTGAAAATGAGGGCAGAATTGGGTCCTCTGTACTGATAAAACTTCATAGTACACCACATTATTTGTACACCATAAACCTACTGCAAAACATAGAAATAATTTCACTTGCTATTAAAATCCAGCTACCTATCAAGTGGTAGTTGTTAAATGGAGCATATCAACAGTGCACCCCGGTTTGGGTCAAAAATAAATGAAGAATGCAGTATCCAGTTGAAAAGGTAGGCAAATTTTATGGGCGTAAAATACAATTACTAGCAATGGGCAGTTAGTAAAGCCAAGAAAATGGGAAGATATTTTTCTACAAATGTTTGATTAAGAAAGTAAATTTTGCTTTGACTGTATTAATAACTCAAGATAGGCACATTTTTTGGTCTAAGCATTTTTCAAGCAAAAAAAATGCAGATTTGGGACAACTGATACATTTCACAAATTTATGTCAATTTCAGCAAATTATTTCAGATGCAAAACCAAAAAATTTCAGAAATGCCAAAATGAAATGTTTTGATATTTTTGGGCTAATTTCACAAGGAAACTTAGGCATCATTCGCAGAACCAAGGAGGTGGCCTACTCATC